CAGCGCCAGCACCAGCAGTTTCGGGTCATGCTTGTACGATAGCGGCGGGAACGGGATCGGGGCGAACCGCCGCGACTCGAGCCAGTGGACCGCCGTGGTGTATATGGCCACGGCCTCCTCGGCGCTGACATACGGTCCGTCCTTCAGGTAGCTGCGCTGGCGCTCCTGCTCGGCCTTGAGCCACATGCGCGTCAGCCGCCCGCAGTTCCGCCGCGCAATCGCCTTATCCACTGTGGCGCCACGCCGGATCCGCTCACGGTTGTAGTGCGTCACTGACATCCACCAGTCGGCCTTAGACTTGACGTACCGCAGAATCATGTTCTCCACCGCCTGCGGCATGCCGGGCACCTGCCACGGAATGTTCGCCTTGTAGCAGTTGTGCACCACCAGCCAGTTCTCCAGCAAAAACAGCGCCGAGCCGCCGAGCTCGAAGCCCACGTACTCCCCATGGTCGCTGATCTTTCTTACTGAGAACTGCACGTGATGCTGCGCGCATGCATGTTTGGCGAGTCTCTGCTGGTAGCACGCAACCAGATGCACATCGGCACCGCCTATCAAGCAGCTCCGCTCTGCCTGGCCGTCCCCAGTGACATCGCAGGTCAGCCCCAGGCTGCGTGCCAGGTGCTGCGCCAGATCCACCATCTGCCCACTGCCCTCCGCCTCCACGCTCTGCGTCAGTTTGTATGCGCCCGGCTGCTTGCAGTCACCACACAGCGCGGCAGAGCCGTTTCCGTCAATGAGGCCGCCGAGAACCGAGCGCCGCGCCTCTGCGCTCAGCGCTAGCAGATTCATAACCAGCGCCTCCGTTGCCAGAGGCCCGCCAGTCGCCAGATATCCCATGTGGCGGAACACAGCAAGCAGCGCGTTCTCTCGGCCCTCGTCTGCCGGAGCCAGACTCACACACTCTTGGCTGGCACCAGACTGATCAGCACACTTGGCCACCAGCCCCATCGAGCCCGCAATCCCCTGCAGGTAGTCAACTATGCTGCCTGCCTTTGCCTTAATGGAGAACGACGCCTGGGATGCGCTGCCACTGGCCATGTGCAAGCCGAGAAGATAGCACACGTCGGCGGCGGTTGGCATGGGGGTGCCGGGCAAGGGCGTCACCAGCTCGCTAATAAGCGCTGCAATGTCTATTTTCCTTGCGGAGGGGGCAGTGGCCGGTAGATCAATGCACTTTGCGCGCACCATGCGATAGGCACTGGCTTCAGCCGGATGGGTAGACGAGAACTTGGCAAAGGCAGCTGTGGCGACTGTCCACGTCACCGAACCCACGGCTTCGCGCTCCAGCCTGAATGCCTCGGCGGCAGCACGCGCAGTATCCGCGCTGACGAACTGCTGGTCAGCACCCATGCTCTGCGCGTACGAAAACACGCGGCTGGTCGACCGCAGCACATCGGCCATTACGGTCTGGTCCTCGAACGGCACGACGTCGGCGTAGCGCACCTCAAAGCGCTGCTGCGCGGGGTGGTGGAGCAGACTCACGCGATTGTACTCGGGGCTGACCAGCACCAGGTCATGGCGCGAGTTGCATGTGAACCCGGCCTCCTGAGACTGCACTATGCCCACCTCATACATGGCATCAAACCCGCCCATCGTAGCCTTGACCGGCAGCGCCTGGCCCTCGGCACCCAGCACTAGGTCGCCTACGCCCACGTGCCTGGCCTCCTTAACGCTGCCATCGGCCATGCGGACGCGCGTCTCGGGCGCAAAGCACCGCCAGGCCTCCGACAGATGCGCCAGAATGACCTTGCTCTTGTTGCCGCGGATGCCCTCGGGCATCATGTCGAGGATATCGTGCATGACGGCTGCCCGCAGCTCCAGGTCAAAGTGCGAGTCCACGCGCTGCTTGGTCACTGACGCTGCGATGCCCTTGGAGTGCCGGCCCTCAAACTGCCGCGCCAGCAGATTGCCCAGCCAGCGCTCCAGCAGCGGCACGATGCCGCGCAGGAAGAACAGCCAGACGCGCCAGCCCGGCGCCCAGAACCCGATGCCTGGGCCCTTGCCGATGCCCTTGTTGGCGTTGGAGTAGATCACGTGCTTCAAATCCTTGCACGCCCGAATCTGCCGCATCAGCCGGTACTTGTACCGGTACATGCCCGTGAGCTGTCCCACGTGCGCAAACAGGTACTGCAGCCCGTCAGCGAGCTGGAACGCATCGACGTTGCCGAGCCGGTACTGCACGTGTGAGTCGACAATCAGCTTGGTCAGCCGCAGGATCTCGCGGCACAAGTGGAACGCATTGCCGAAGCGGCTCTTCTTGCGCTCCTTAGTGGTCAGTGTCTTGACTGGCTTCAGGTTGAAGTTGTAGTCCAGGTGCAGATAATTGAGGCTCTTGCGGTGGATCAGCAGATTCAGCATATTGTGTCCCTGCCGGCACACCTGCAGTCCGGCCTCCACCCAGTCGATCTCAGTCGACTGGAAGAACTTTGTGGCCTTGAACTGCCGGAACAGGTACTTTTTGCGCTGCGCCTTGGGCGGCTGCGTCCGGATTGCATTCAGCACGTAGTTCTTCAGCAGCTTCTGGTATGACACCCGCACCTTGACCGGCATCCCCTGCGGGCACCGCTCCATGTACCAGTCCTTCACCAGCGGCACGTCCTCGGCACGCCGTGTGCGTCCCGACCGAGCACTGAACGGGTGCGGCGCCCAGTACAGGGCAATTCCGTTAGCCGTGTTATCTGTCTCCAACGGTGTGTCCTCCAGGAACGCCGATGCGTGCTCTGGCAGCACAAACTCGTCATCCTCATCGCCGTCACCAAAAACCTCGTCCTCCACTGCGCGCGCGTCGTCCTGGAACTGCGACACCAGGCTGCGCGACGAGATCGGGTTGATCACCGGATCAAAGTAGAACGCCGGCAGGTCTGGATCGTCTGGCTTCACATACTGCACGGCCGGCGTGTGGTACGCCGACACACGCACGTTGCGCGGCAGCGAATTGTAGAGGTGCGGGAACGCCACCTTGTACTCGGTGCGGATCGGCTGCCGAATGATGATCTTGTTGATGTCATTGAATTCGTTCCAGTCCTCGTCTGCCGGGTTGATGTCGCGGTACATTGGTTCAAACTTTGGCCCGCCCGGAATCGCCATGTTCAGGCACTTGGCCGTGATGAACGAGTTCAGGTCGAACAGATAAAAGTAGTTTGGATCAATCATGTCTGACAGCAGCTGCCCCGCCAGCCGGTGCAGACTCGCCATCACCGGCAAGTCCAGCCGCCAGCGCTTGTAAGACGTGCCGTTGACGCGCCTAAATGGGGCTTTGCGCTTGTCCCCGTCGTCGGAGTCGCTATCGCTGTCCTCGTCATCTTCATCAGCCAGTGGCATGTTGTCGTACAGCCAGTTTATCACCGGCGCATCGTCCTCCTCGTCCAGCTCCATCTGGATCGCCTCCAGCGGCTCGACGTCCAGCAAATTGTCGCCATAATCCAGCGGCGCCTCCTCATCGTCGAACGGCGGGAACCGCATGCGCTTAAAATGCTTGCGGTCGCGCTTTTCACGCCGCATCATAATCCACATCGTGCCCCACTGCGCCAAATACACGGGCTCGATCACCCACGGAATCTGGTTCACAAACGTGATCGCGCCTGTGACATGGTACAGAACCGGTACTTCGCGCACCTGCTCCCACGGCATCGGCATGTTCTCCAGCAGCTTCAGCACTGCATGTGGCACGTACTTGAGCGCTCCCAGGTAGACGCGCTTGTCGTGTCGGAACTTGCGAGCGCTCATGTCCCCATGGTCCTTGATGATTTTGCGCAGGTGCTCGGCGGGCATGTCGGCCTTCTCCTGCTCTGCAAACCCCATCCGCCGCTTCGTGTCGTACCGCTTGCTGTTCAGTGCCCGCCACTCCTGCGCCTTCTTGTCCAGCTCTGACTCAGAGGGCGCGACCGGCACGAACTGCGCGTCCGTTGGCGCTAGCTGCTGGTCGCCATGCCCACGCGTTTCGCGACCAGTCATTGTTTGGTTGAAATTGCTCTTTGGTTGCAATCAAAATCCTTGCAATATAAAATAAATTGCTTGATTGAAGCAAAGAAACGCTGAAATGATTCCAAAGGTGAGGGAAAAAAACGCACTTGGGAATTGCGTGTTGCCGGAAGAAAGTCGCAGCCAGTGAAAAAGTATACAAATCACCGCCACCGAAAATCAAGCGATCATCTGTTGATTCCTTCCTCCGGGTCAGAACTGCGGAATCGCATGTTAGCAACTACAATATCCGCACGATTTGTCTATATGCAATGTTTATTGGCATGTACTTTGCAAAATACGAGTGATTTACATCTCACCCCTACTCCATGCAACGGATCCACAAACGGCTGGCGCACTACTTAAAAAGTGCTCCCATGTCTAAGAGAAGGGTAGCTGCCATCTCCTCTCAACTGAATTTATTCTGAACATCCTTTACCAGATACCAGCAATGAAGCACCTCTACACCTCTGTGCTAACCTACAAGTGTATTTCTTCTAATATTCGTTCTTCCGTTCAAAACGATGATTCAGACTCCCAGCAAGATACGACGCATTGATAGCCTATGTGGTTCCAAATCCTCATGATTTTAGGAACCCATGGATCAAGACCTTTAGGCTACAATGGCCAGCCGTACTATTCCAGGCGGCCGGCGCCATTACTTAGACGGGCACCCGCCCCTTTCACCTGGCGATTCCTCCTTTCCTCTTTCATATAGCATATTTCATACGTTCAATATACGTCGTGGAATGGTGCTTGGAGAGTAAACGTATTCTAGACAGTTGCAGGAGGTTGTCTATCTAAGTATATCGTACCCGAGACACAACAGCCCATATAGCTAGGTCCCTAATCCGAACTCAACCCCCGCTGCAATATGCTTGTCAAGAGAACTCCGATGCATTTGTCAGCACATTTTTGGAACTTCACTTGGAGAGTAGCATAAATTGACAAGCTATAATAATTCTGACATGCTATTTCTTTTGCCGATTATTTTTAAGCTTCTTTTCATCTTCCCACTTTTTGCATATTAATTTCCAATGGCAAACTTTGGCAACTTGAACAAAGGAATTCTCGTTATTATTTTTGATATTGCCTCAAAGCATTCACCTCCGGAAACATATGCAGTGGATTCACATGTCTGCCTACTTCAATTCAGCCAAGTATGCCGGTCTTGGAGGACCACTGTAGCCCCCTATTGCTATTGCACTGCAGTCATGGCGTATTCTGATCACCACTTTGCACATGGGGGCCAGCTAGGCTATCCATCGCAGGGTAGTAACATAATCATAGAGACTAGTGGCGGCTCGACCTCTCACAACGCCAAGATATGGAGGTCGAATATTCCACACATTATCCAATCAGGAAACAACACTAAGGTTAGACGCCTGGTAGTTTCATCTCAGGTGTGCAGAATCGACTACGAAACGCTTGGTGTTGCACTGTCTAGTTTTGGATTCGGCACTGTCAACTGGTCATCACTCCAGGTGCTCATATTTACCGATGCCGCCAACCTGATACTGGTTGCTGATGACAGACATACTAGCCTTGATGACCCCTGTGCCAGCCCTATCAACACCTCGGACTTTCTACTGGCATATGCTCCAAATGTTAACCGGCTGATATATATTCCCCCCCGATTCAAATATGGCAACCAAGTTGTATTTCCGATCGGCCGAATTCTCAATAGTTATATGCCACAGCTGGAAAGGGCGCTATTAATGAGCTGGGAGCCTGTTAATTTTGACTATTACTATTTCCCTCAACATCTAACTATACTGAAGCTACAGCTCAATAGTGAAGCTGTCGAGTGCCTTCCAAAGATATTCGCATCTTCGCTTACAAGTTTGTACTTATTTTACACAGACACATATCACTCATGGCACATTTTCTATGATACCTTGCCTGGTCCTATTATCTTCAAATCTTCTTAAAAAGCTGATTATCATTTTTCCCTCCACCAGTGACCAGCTACCAGATCCTACAGATGGCCCTCACACACCAGTGTTCCCACAGCTGAAACTTTTATACATACGCAATCACCCTGGGCAAGATTTTGGCTTTTTTTTCGCTATTCGCAAGCGCACCTCTTGCCTGCGCCACCATTAATTGGACTCGCCCGGCAGATGAACATGGAAGTGGTGCCAGTAATTGCAATCCCAAAGATGCTGACTGTGGGATTTCTTGTCGAGGATGATGAGGAGCAGGATACGATTGCCACCAGGCAGATTGCCTGTACATTGCTAAGGAAACCGTCCACAGTGCAGCATGCTGAGGTTATTATCATCACAAGCATACCGGTGTCACTTCCTGACGCAATGTTGTGGGTGGGGTTGAAAAGCTTATCCATCCAGTTCCCGGTATACCTCATTCAGCTCGTTGGCATCCTTCCACAACTTCCTCACCTGCAGTGGCTACTCGTCGGCGCAATTTTACGATGCAGAAGCACACTGGCCAGCTGTGCAGTGCAGTCAGATATGGAGCGATACAGTTCGGTTTCTCTGTCTTTTCTCCAGCATCGTACATATCCCAACTGTGCCATCCCTTAGTGCAGTGCGGAGTCTGGTGGCTGGGCTGCCATCTCTGCTTAGGCTTGCTCTGCCTGATGGGGTGCTAGACAGTGCAAAAAGGCGTTCTTGCTGAAGGCGATACTGCAATGGGACAATACGATGTGGTTAGCTATTATCCAGATCAAATATCTGAGTATCTCAACTACCAGATACCGTACAAGCGTTGAATAGAGGTTCCAATACACTATTTTGTATTTGCAACTGACGAAAGAGATTGAGGTTCGGCCACATGTAGTCATGAGCCTGGTGCGCTATCATTTAGCCACCTTAGTACAGTGTGTACACTTGAGCTCGTAGAAGCACCAGAGCTGACTCACCAGCGATATATTGTCTCGGATGTGGTAATTACTCAGACCCCGGACTGCCCGGCGCCATGATGCTGCGGGTTCCGTGTTAATGCTCACAGTCTCTGAGACACTGTGTGCTGCTATGATAACAAAGTGCGCATCCCAGCGCCATTACCAAATAACGGCCCGGGTTTTGCACTGTCCCCCAAAATTAACACGCCCAGCTCGGCCATTTTGGTGAGTCAAAAAAGCGATACCGCAGAAAATCGCCTATAAAAGGTGAATGTTCCCGACACTGTCGGCCCCTGCTCCGATATCTGTGCTTTTCTCTCCCGAAATCAATTTTCACATTCTTCCAGCACTCCACGTAGTCCAGAACATGACCAATCCCGCCAGCGACCGCGTCCTCAACTTCTCTGCAGGCCCCTCGACTCTGCCGCTATCTGTGCTCGAGGAGGTGCAGCGCGATCTGCTCAACTACAAGGGCACCGGCGTGTCAGTTCTCGAGATGTCGCACCGCTCCAAGCCGTATGACGCGATCATCCGCGAAGCCGAGGCTACGCTGCGCCGTGTCCTCGATGTCCCCGCCAACTACGCTGTGGTGTTTCTGCAGGGTGGCGGCACTGGCGAGTTCGCTGCCTCCTACCTGAACCTCTTCGCAGCAAGTCCGTGCGCGCAAAGCAGGCAAAGCTGGGCCGGCCGCTGTCCTGCGACTATATCGTCACGGGCTCGTGGTCCAAGGCTGGCATGAAGGAGGTTAAGCGGCTGGGCGGTCACATAAACACCGTGATCGACGGCGTTGAGGGAAAGTACGTTGGCGTGCCGCCCGCCAGCGAATGGCGGCTGGGAAAGCCCGAGGAGACGGCGTTTGTGTATTACTGCGACAACGAGACTGTCAATGGCGTTGAGTGCAGGCCGGAGACGGTCGTGGACGCGGTTGATCCGTCGGTACCTGTGATCTGCGACATGTCGTCCAACATGATGTCGCGGCCAATTGATATCAAGCGCTTCGGGCGATCGTTGCAGGTGCGCAGAAGAACATGGGGCCCGCCGGTGTTACCATCGCGATTGTGCGCGAAGACCTGCTTGAGCGCGACGATGATCCGGAGATACTGCGGGCTCTGCCATCAGTGCTCGACTGGCAGTACTACAGCAAGGCTGGCTCGCTGCCGCACACGCCCGTGCTTT